AAGGGGCTTGGGAAAGTGTTTTCACACCCCGGGAATTTTAAAAATTGTAAAACATCAACCTCCCGAAATTCCGGGGGGGGAATTCTGGGAGTTGAAGTCTGCACATCTTAAAGTTCCCAAGGTTGAGAAACACTGCTCTAGGAGGTACTGTAGACAAAAGGACACTGCTTAACTATGTTAAAAGAGTAAAACTACTCATGTTGAATGGAAACTGGGAGGGGCAAGGTTTTTGGTGGTTAAGGGTTGTACTTAGGCTTTGAGGGGGGAGAGGCCACTTGACCATGGCTGAATTTGGGGGGACTTGGGGCCTCCACACTTTTTAACTGTGATGTACCGATGTTAAGGTTATGGTACAGCTCTATTCTGTTTCACGCTTCAATGTGGAATCTGAACTTTAGGCAAAGGAGCTGTTGGGGGCTTTGCCACTGAGTCTTACTGCTTTGACCTTGCAGAGAGACAAGTAAATTTATTGTAACTGGAACGTTCCTCTCTGTTATGACCTCAGTTTTCTTTTTATCTCTTTGTAAGATAAACTTACTCTTTCCTGAATTTTCTTAACTTCTCCCAATCTTTCTTTGTGCTTTTGAATTATTTCAATGTTGACAAAACTTCTCACGGGGCTGAAAATATCTGCAATCCTAAACTATCATTGGAGGGGTGTGTGTGTGTGTATATCTTTTTCCCCCATGCACGGGGTATTTAAAATCCTTAAGTTAGTTATACTAGAGATGTGGCCAGATCAGAAAAATAAGACTAAACCTAATTTATTTATTTACAGGACTTATACGGCTGCCTACCCCATACGGTGACTCTAGCGGCTCACAACAATCCATAAACCATAGTTAAAAACCAAGGCACCCCCCAAGCCCCCACCAGAACACACATCCTCACAGCTCAACCCGCATCCCAGCCCAATGCTTGGGGGAAGAGCCGGGTCTAAATCTAATCTTCCTTGTCACTTACTAAGCACTGATTAATGAATGTAACTAACATGATTACGTTATTAGGCAACGTAAATCCACTGTAGCGAACTAAGATTAACGGCAATAAAGAGCCGCTTCCCCGTCTCCTCCTCTCCTCCTGACTGCGCCCCCTCCCCAAAGGGCCTTTCCCCGCTCTTGCAGGTAGAAGCTAAACACACGGACATGCCTTGCCTGATCTGGCACTGATGTTCCCAGAAGCGGATCGCAGGTCCCCAGCACTTTTTTAGTGCAATCGTTCATCAAGTCTCCTGCGGAGGCAGGGCTGGCTAAAGAATGCAGCGAGCAGGGAGCAGCAATTAACCGGCAGCCTCCTTGGTCAGGAGAGCGCCCGGCAGTGGCTGGTTCAGGCCAGGATGCTGCGGGAGCCCTGACCCGGGGCTTTATGGCGCGGGGGGGGGGGGGGGGG